CAACACCGACAATCGCTCACAGACATATACACACAGACACACAGAAGACACGCATGCATAGTGAGAGTGATGCAGCTAGCAGTGCCACTGGTATTGAAATTATATGCTTGCTGTTGAAGATGAGGGACAGAGCACTTATGGGAATGCCAAAAGTGCTGTGATGTCAATTCTTGACTCAACTCGACTCAGTCTTAAAAGTACAGTTGCAAAGTTGTGTTGTGGTTTACAGCTAAGCTGCAATATCCGCGTCTTTCTGTTTAGTACATGATTTTAGAAAGCTCCCAATCAGTCACCAATCAGTACATGATTGCTAGAGGGTCATGGGTTGATTCCACCCCGCCCCCTACCCAAATCAAAAACAGAACCCCTGAATGCACCTGGGGAGTTTTAATAGAGGTTAACCTAGGACAATGGGAGTCACAGTGGCAATGGCATCTAGACCCTGCCTGTGGATCGGAAGCTCATGGGTTCGGGTCCTGACGGAGGACTTTTTTCAAAAAAATAACCTTGACTCCCAAGTCGACCCAGCCTTGAGTGGGTACCACGTGCAGTCCTGGGAAGTAAAGATGCCCGGCACCCACCAAGTGCCGATCGGTCTATACAAATATAGGTCTAGCACTATATGCCCAATACGCCCGAAGGCGTGGAAAAAGGTCCTTTACCTTTTTACTTTAACATTCCCAATTATCAGCACAAACCACTTCCTCCTTTAAGCAATGTAGGGAGGAATCATTGGCCATCCAGTGAACCTCGGCTGGCACTGGCTATGTGTAGGTCTTGATGGCGTAAAGATTGTTTTATGCTGCTGATCCACATTTGTGTGGTTGTCCTCTTGCTCTTGTATCTGATCTTCCAAGATGTCATGCCTTTGATGGTATTTGATGTTGCTGCATTCTTACTGACGGCCAAATCACCTGATCTGCTATTTCTAGATGAATCTAGTCAAGGTGTTGTCCGCCCAATCTGACATTATCAATATACACATTATATACCAGTATCATTATATACTCGTTCTCGGATAGTATGGGTGTTGGCGTTTTTCAGCCATCTCATCTACAGGTGGGGTTTTTGCAAATACGAGTCAATAGTAGAACTTATTTGCACCACTTGGTGGTGAACTGATGTATGACAAGCTAGATGTTGTGAGGGCCCTTTGGGAGCAAGTGAACAGTGCCAAGGCACAGATAGATCATTAACAATCTGAGGAGAATGGCTTTATGAAAAGTTACACAGGGATATGGCCAACGCTCAACACTCAGGGAAAAGGCGAGATGGATATACAAGCAGACAGTTACTGCTACCCTCGAAATTTTAACTCTTTGCTTGCTGCTGCTGAAAATGGAGACGGAGCGCTTATGGAGGTGTCCGAGTGCTGTGACGTTGATTATTAATTCAACATTCAACTTATAAAGTGACAGGCTTTTCTTGATGTTAACTATGTGGTCATACTTACTGATTCAGGCTTTCAAATGTAAATGCTACACAAAACTAGTAAATATGTCAGACAAAATACACCAATGTGCAAGACATGAGGAGCCTCTCTTGGCAGTGGTGAAATGTCACAAGCTAGTTGGGTTCGGACATGTGGTGAGCCATGATTCGATTGCAAAGACTTCAAGGAACACCGGAGGGTAGTCAAAGAAGAGGAGGACAAAGAAGAACCTGGAATTACATCAAAACTGGACAGGACCAAGTTATCATACACCTATTCATCAAGCAGAAGACAGAGAAAGATGGCAGGTTTTGTGTGCTAGTGCATCCATCGATACACCTCCACGACCCTAACAGGTCAAGGGTTATGTTATTTTACTTACTGAGTCTTCCTTGCCAACTTTGGCTTGTTTCAGTGTCTCTGCCAATTGCTGCTTCTTGTTAATCAGTTCTTTCATCTTGACTTCTAGATCATCAATCTTTCTTTTTCTCTGTGTTACAAGGCAATGTCAGCATTAGGCTTGATACAAACACCACAGATCAGGGCTATTCAACTGGAGGCCTAGAAAGTAGCCTGCGGATCATTGCTAGTTGTACTGTATTATTTATGATCATTCTATCCTGGGGCTCTGGCCTTTGGCCCATGGCGATCCCCATTTTTTAACATTTTGGTACGTGAATAAACTTAGCTGAATAGCCCTGCCATAGATGATCATTGATTAATTACATTTTTAAAGCATTAAAACATTTGGGAAAATCAGAATCAGTTCATATCAGTATCAAACATACACTTGTTTTTCTTCTCTAGTCCTGTTTAGCTCAAGTGTAAGATCCTGAAGAAGCACTGGGTGCAAGCCTTGGTATGTGCTACACAGACGCTGGTGATTACAGCTTCAGATATTCCATCTATTGATATCTGGAAACTAAATAATCTGTTGCTGGTGAATGTTTCTTTTGTTATTTGACACTTTGATTTATGTGGATGTTTTTCTCCAAGCTCTTGTTACTAGTGCTTGGGATCTTCATTTTTTAACAGCTGGTTACAGAATTTGTTGGATAGTTAAATAGCTGGTTACAGCATTTGTTGGATGGTTAAACAGCTGGTTACAGTATTTGTTGGATGGTTAAATAGCTGGTTACAGCATTTATTGGATGGTTAAACAGCTGGTTACAGCATTTATTGGATGGTTAAACAGCTGGTTACAGCATTTATTGCATGGTTAAAAAGCTGGTTACAGCATTTGTTTGATGGTTAAGCAGCTGGTTTACAGCATTTGCTGTATGGTTAAACAGCTGGTTACAGCATTTGTTGGATGGTTAAACAGCTGGTTTACAGAATTTGCTGTATGGTTAAACAGCTGGTTACAGCATTTGTTGGATGATAAAGCAGCTGGTTTACAGCATTTGTTGGATGGTTAAACAACTGGTTACAGCATTTGATGGATGGTAAAGCAGCTGGTTTACAGCATTTGTTGGATGGTTAAACAGCTGCTTACAGCATTTGTTGAATGGTTAAGCAGCTGGTTATTTGTTTCATTAGCTGAATTCTGGTTGGCTGTGTAACTGTTTTCTTATTACTTTATCACATCTCCCCCTTCCCCACATCTCTTATTACCACATCCTAACACCCCCCAAACCTCACATCCTAACATCCCCCTGCCCCACATCTGTTATTTCCACATCCTAACATCCCCCTGCCTCACATCTGTTATTTCCACATCCTAATATCCCCCCAGCCCCATATCTATTACTGCCACGTCCTAACATCTCCCAGCCCGACATCTGTTACGGCCACATCCTAACATCTCCACATCCATAATCTTGTGATATTGTGTAGTACTGTCCAATTTATGTATGTGCTAAAGAAGTCTCTATAGCTAAAACGTTCAGGTTTTATTTGTGTTAGTTATATTGTGAAACTCAATGAAAACTTTTTGTTTGGTGTTTATATCTTTCCGACATCCACAATCACCACATTCTGACATCCCCCACCAACACATCTGTTATTGCCACATTTTAACATCACCACAATTCAAACGACAACTGGTCTACAAAACTCTGCACTTCAGAAGTCAGCTAGTCTATAAAAATACAAGACTATCACTATATCTCCAAAACAAATAAAGCAGCGGTTCTCAACCTTCCTGATGCTGCAGCCCTTTTATACAGTTTCTCACGTTGTGGTGACCCCCAGCCATAAGATTATTTTTGTTGCTACTTCAGAACTTCAGTGAACATGTGATTTCCCATGGTCCTAGGCGACCCCCCTGTGAAATGGTAGTTCCACCACCAAAAGGCTTGTGACCCACAGGTTGAGAACCGTTGACCTTAAGCAACGAAAAAGAACCCTTCACCCATCTTATACTAATGCCCATATAAGCAGTCAATTTGAGCTAGTATACAAGAAGATAAAACACACTGCAGGCTCCTGCGGCAGCAGGTGTACTTTATATCTTCTGCTTTCACCCTTAAAAGGGTAGGCAGCACACTGTGTTGTGGTTTACAGCTAGGCTGCGATAGCTATCCTGTAATCCACAGATGCTAAAAATAAATGAAAAAGATAGTAATTTGTTTAGCTGATTTACACAATACACATTCATTGCTCTAATATGCCATTCTTCTTCTTCTTATTTTTATTCTTCTTCTTCTTCTTCTGGAGCAGAGTCAGCACCAAACCAAACCAAACTTCATGGGCTAACAACAGATCACATGGTTTGACTACATGACCAAATTGGCAACAGACAGGGCACCACAGAAAGCAATGTTTTGGAGATGCAGCAGTGACAGAACCAGAGGTCAGCCATGCAGAAAATGGACTGCAGACACTTAAAAGTACTATATACGAGGCAAACAGAAGGCTCTGTTCCAGAGATCTCTTCCTGTCCTGACGCTGCAAGGCATTCCTTGAGTAGATATAAAAGAAGGAGAAAAAGACACTGATTTCAGCAAACATAAACACTGTGCACTGTCAATCACAATGAAAGTGAAAATGAAAAAAAAAAAAAAAAAAAACTATTATCAGTGAATCTGTGCAAACCATTTTTGATGTATATGACTCTGGCGCTTCAAAAGTGTATGATATTCTAAAATAGTCAAATAAAACTTGCTCAAGCACCACAGCGGGAGGGAAATTGCAGTCTGCACTGCATCCATTTTAGGCTGTGTCGACCTGGGAGCCAAGGTCATTTCTGACATAAATCTGATACAATTCAGATTTAAACGCAAGACCTTTACCTGGCAGGCGATTGTCTAGTCACTACAGCATGACAGCTCCCTCAATATAATATAGGTTACAAGAAATGAAATAAGAAAAGAAGAAAGATGTACATTTTGTGTCGCTTTACTGAAGAAGACCTGGAACATAAAACTGGTTACAAGAAATGAATAAGACAAACATGAAGACATACATTTTGTGTTCCTTTACTGGGGAAGGCCCAGAATATAAAACTGGTTATAAGAAATAAATTAGAAAAACAACAAAGACATACATTTTGTGTTCCTTTACTGTTGAAGGCCCAGAACATAAAACTGGTTATAAGAAATAAATTAGAAAAACAAAAAAGACATACATTTTGTGTTGCTTTACTGGGGAAGGCCCAGAAATAGATGGAGGTACCGATTTTGTCACTGTCCACGATCCCATCATCCACCAGGCTCTGGACCACCTCCTTGACAGACATGGATGTGATGCCCTTTTCTTTGGGACATAGCTTCTCCAGGTCCTTCAGCTGGAAAAAGTCTTTCTGGGGGAAAAAAAATATATAACATGTTTCTGTCACTGTCTTTCCCCTAGCAACTTACGGATGTGTGTCATAGACTCTCAGTCAGTCTTTGAAGAAGACAACCAGAGCTTTTTGAACTGAAATGCTAAAGGAAAATTTGTGGGAAACTGAGGATCAAGGTAAAGAAAACTGTTGACATTCTGCTTGACCTGAACATCAAGGAGAATTGTTTCCCCCAATGGGTTCCAGAGCCCTATTGTGGGAAAAACAAGAATAGACCCACTGCCTTCCCAACATGCATGTCGTAGGAGTCGACTAATTGGAGGTTTTCTTCAAAGTCGGGGTGCATCAACAGTTTGCATAGAAATAAGCCATATCTGTGAAACGACTGTGCACACAACACTCAGGTTCTGAGTCTAAGTCCAGAGATAGATAAACAACCAGAACTTTTCCGCAGCCGGTGAATGCAAAGAAGAAGGAGAATTAGCTCATAAACAGCATCTTCTCCAAAAAGCCAAGGCATTTGAGATATGACAAGTGCCAAAGTGGTCTGGAGAAAACAGTGACGGAGGGTGTAGTTTCTGCAAAACGAGGCAGAAGTCGACCTCCGTGAAGGTGGATATAAGATATTGAAGATGCATTGAAGAAAGTAAACAGGTTTGGAAACCTGACCGGAGAAAGAGAGACTTTCAGGTGTGCCATGAGTGACATTCTGTAAAGGACATGGTGACTGACTGACTGTGATACTGTACAACTTACACTGACTGACTGACTGACTGATCGATTGTGATACGTTACAACTTACACTGACTGACTGACTGACTGATTGATTATGATACTGTACAACTTACACTGACTGACAAAACTGGTGGAAAAGGAGTGAGGGGAAGGCAAAGAGATAAATGCTTGCATGGCTTGGCAATATGAATGCGGACAAGATAAGAACACTGACCTGATCTGTGTTTCTGACGATCAATGAGATGGCGAAACATGACAGCCTTCACTGATGATTTACATGTACACCGACCTTTCTCTTATGACTTCATCTGGGCACAGATTTTGATACTGCAGCAATCGGGTCAAGTCCATCTTAGCTCCATCTCCCTCCTCAACAGCCAGCTATGAGTGTTCATACTAAAGACATCTGCTGTCATCTGGTTCACTACTTGTCTTGCCCTCCTACCTCCTTCCAGAATCCAATGACGCTCTCCGCTGCATAATTCTCTCCAGGTGCAGGTTTTTAGTCTTCTTCTTCTTCTTCTTCTTCATTGTGTTCACCAGCTATAAACTCTAGCGGAAAGTTCTGGTTGCTCATCCACTTCTGGACTGCAGTCCTGTTCCAGGTGCATCCTTTTTAGAGATCTGACTCATTAGTATGCAAACTGCTGGTTCCTTGCCTTTCAGGCAGAGGCACTCCGACTTTGAAGGAAACTCCCATTTAGTCGACTCTTACGACATGCTTTTTGGTAGGCAGCGAGTCTTTTTTTTTTTTCCCTATAACAGGGCCCCAGAACCCACACTAGGAAGTTTTTCAGCATCTTCCATGTTGCTAGTTACCTTGTCCCACATGCCAGAAATACAAAGCGGCCAGTCCACCTATGACAAACATGTGTGGCTGAGATATTGTTCACCCATCCGAACATCACAGTTACTGCCTCAACCTCTATTCTCATGCCTGATGTGCTGATGTCATATTCCAAGCTCTCCTCGGTCATCCTTCTCAGTCATCCTTTTTACCATGCACTCGCAACAAACCTCAATCCACTCTTTCTGCCCCTGGCCACAGACCCAGAACTTATTACAAAATTAGAGACAGTCTGTGGTATACATAGCATGGAAATTAATGCAGAGAAAAGCCAGATTCTGGTAAATAATCACAATAAACAAGTACCTACCAACAGAAAGATAAAAGGGGGAAAAATAGAAGAAGTTGAAACCTTTAAATATCTTCGTTCCCCTATATGTAACAACAACAGCTGTACCAAAGAGATCAAGACACGGCTTGATATGGTAACAGCCGCAATGCCCCAGCAGAGCAAAATCAACATCACAGTTGAGGTCAAAATTTATAAATCATCGGCATTGTCTTTTATCTTATACGGATGTGAGAGATGGAATCTCACCGTGGAAATGGAATGGAAAATTCAGGCTTTCGAATGTAAATGCTATAGACGCATTTTACGAATTAGTTATTTAGAACACAAAAATAACAAATATGTCAGAGACAAAATATAAATATTTGTAGACATCAGGAGCCTCTCTTGGCAGTGGTGAAATGTCACAAGCTAGCTTGGTTCGGGCACATGGTGAGACATGATTTGATTGCAAAGACTGTACTTCAAGTAACATATTGGGGGGGGGGGGGGGAGTTAGATGAAGAAGAAGAGGGCAAAGAAGATCCTGGAATGACAACATAAAGAAATGGACAGAACTAAGTTATCAGATTCTTGTTCACCAAGTGGAAGACAGAGAAACATTGCAAGTTTTATGTGCTAAAGCTTTCAATAATACACCTTTATAGTCCTAATGGGCCAATCGTTATGTTATGTTATGTATATATGTACACATCTGTGTATATAATCATATCTTCTGGCCTAGACATTTCCTCAATCAGCTGCTGAACATGTTCATCTGCATATCCCGCCGCCCATTCCCTGCATTCTGTCCCAAGGTAATTATCACCTTGTGCAGCGCCTCTCTGGTCGTCGGTACCTATACCCCTTCTTCTCCTTGGCTATTCTGGCTGGCACTCAACACACGGGGTAGGCCACGCTGAGATGGATATACAATCAGACAGTTACTAGTATTATCGGAAATGTAATTCTTCACTTGCTGCTGTAGATGGGGACAGAGCGCTTATGGGAGTGTCCTAAGCGCTATGATGTAGATTCTTAATTCTTCTTAATCTCCTTTATTCTATCACCCTTTAAAATGTCTAATCCCCTATGAATGATATATTATGTATCACTTGCAACTCTCCTTTATTCTATCACCCTTTAAAATGTCTAATCCCCTATGAATGATATATTATGTATCACTTGCAACTCTCCTTTATTCTATCACCCTTTAAAATGTCTAATCCCCTATGAATGATATATTATGTATCACTTGCAACTCTCCTTTATTCTATCACCCTTTAAAATGTCAAACCCCTTATGAATGATATATTATGTATCACTTGCAACTCTTTTTCCAATTTCTCCAACTGGGTCCTTTGATATAAATGGTTGTCATCCCAAGACAATATTCAATGAGTGACATAACAAGGCATTAACTTAGTATATATAATTTTTATGACTTCCTTCCTGATTGTATCTCTTCTGGTAACTCGTAGGTAGGTAGGTGCTTTAGTGAAGAAAAAATCGTCACATACAACCAGCGGGGGGAAAAGGAGGGAGGGGAGGGGGGGGGGGGGTGTTGTAAGTGACTGTGTCTGGAAGTTAACACCAAATTTAATCAACTTACCTTTTCATAAAAGAAATCCGTCATACGAGATCTCTTTTCCTCAAGGCTCAATCCCTTTTTCTTGGACTACAAAGAAGGGAAGAAGTGAAAACAACAAAGACATTAAAACTCTCAGTTGAATTATTTCAGCACATAACAGAAACTATTATAAAAATAAGTGTGGAAGTTTTTTTTTTTTTTTAAATTATCCTTTTTTTCAAATGAACCTCTTCTTTATCTTCTTCTTTTTCTGCTTTTACTCTAAAAATGGTGACTAGCACAGTGATGTGGTTTACAGCTAGGCTGCAATACATGCATCTTTCTACCTGCTTTCAGCATACCCACAAATGTTTGCCATTAGGACATGCTTGTTCAGAGGAAGTAGTTCTATCCCTTTTCTCCACAAAATGCTGGCCCAAATGATGAGTTTCTTGCCGAAAAAAGTCTACATCTAGACACTTAAAACTAGACATCCAAAAAGTCCTCTCTTTATTATACAACTCTTTTCAGCCATCTAAACTCTTCTTTGTGTTTACCAGCTCTAAACTTGGGTGGAAAGTCTTGGATGTCTGTCCATGTCTACAATTTTGTCTTGCTTCAGGACTCAAATTTTGCATGCACATTTGTTTTACAGATCTTGCTCAGGACTTTTTTCTTAGAAAAAAATGTCAGTACTCACCACAAAGTGATCTCATTATGTAAACAGATTGTATGGTGTTGAGAGGAAAGAAAAGTGCCTGAGGGTTTGTAGTGACAGCCAATGGAAAATCTTTAGTGCAAGACAGCCTAGCAAACGACATCACAACATCTAGCATGAGAATGGAGGTGGAGGTGGTAACTGCTGCTCTCCTGTGGCTAGAGAACAAGATGCATACACATGTTGTAACTGTAACAGACTCTGAAAGCATGCTGAAAAAGATGAGGACAGTGATGCTTCGAGCAGAGGGAAGCTTTATTGGGAAGGTCACTGGTAGTGAGCATACTTTGTTTTGTTTTTTTACAGGCTATGCCGTCGTAGTGGGTAATGAATAGGCAGACAGATTGGCTGGATCTACACCACTGGGCAGTAAACTGATACATGACAAGGCAGATGTGGTCAAGGCCCTTTGGGAACAAGCAACAGAATCAGTAGAGACACAAGATTATTATGGCCTAGAGAGAATGAGGCACCTGGGTGTAACCAGAGGGTCTGGCCGGCTCACGACACTCAGAGGAAAAGCAAGACAGACATATAACCAGATTGTGACTGGTACCATCAGTATTGGAACTCTGCGCTGGCTGCTGAAGATGAGGACAGAACACATGGGAATGCCCCAAGTGATGTGATGTCAAATCATGACTTAACTCAACAACACAAAATGTTTTGTGTGTTTTTTCTAAAGGGTGCTGGCACTCACCACAAAGTGTCTATACTACAGCAGCGAAAGTAGACTGCCTGAAAATAGAAACCAGCATTGTGTATCATTAAATCATCATCATCATCAGTTCTCGTTATGCCTAGTGGCACATGAGGCTTCAGAGAGGACTTTCCATGCTTTCCTGTCCTGTGCAATCTTCAGTGCAGTTTTCCATGTCAA